CTGGGGGAAACAGATCGTCAGCAAATTATACTCTTAAGACTTACCCATCAATTTATGGAAGTTCAGGGTGTTAAAATTTTGTAACTGATATTCCTTTAGGAATTGGTATTTTCATTAAAATCGGGATTTTGCGCCGAAGATTTTAGACTCTCGAGAGTACGCGGGAGATGTCTGTGATTAAGATACCATTATTTATCGACCACAACAATCAATACTGTTTACGATTTTGTGTGTGTGTGTGTATTTTGTTTACCACTTAAAAGGTCCTTATTTATCTATAAATAATGCTGCTCGGTAAAATCTCACAGAACATAATCTGAATCCCGTTACCAAAGTTTCGTTTCATTCGTTTCATTGTGGGCTGATTTATCATTTTGCGACGCCAGAAGCACCCTCTGTATTATCAGAAGCAATTTCTACTAATAAATCATTACTTCATCCAGGAGTATTTAATATTTCTCCGAGCATAGAAATCACATACTCTCTTTTACTTGTATGGGCTAATTTTTTTATAGAGAAATATTGCATCAGCTGCTTTTAGTCAATCACAAAAGCTGGATATGTCACTATCTCTGATGAAGACTTTGTGATGTACCATTTATAGACACTGTAACACGACCGTGCATTCGGCAATTTTTCACAACCTGCAGGGCGTGAAATAGGGACACTGTATAGCGGCTATACATAGTCCCTGTGGGTTAAACGACGGTTATTTAACCTGACCGCCCACGGTTAAATACCTTTTGATACCGGGATTTCTAGGTTAATTGGCCATTTATTGGATTCTTTCCGGACAATTGGGACTAAAAACCCGAGGCCTCGATCCGACAGGAGGTTTGGACGGTTGAAAAGACACGCATCGGAAATTCATTGGGGTAAATAGAAAACAAAATCTCCATAAAATTACCGAAAGGGGCTGGTTTGAATAAGATATGGTAGTTGAAAGCATACTTTAATTGATCATGCTTCCATTTGTCCATGTTCCTATTATTTTGTGCTAGCGATTCTTATCATCGTTTGGAGATAATAACATGGACACCTGTCTTACCGAAAGAAAAGGCGTGGTTTTGAGATTTGCAATGTTCAAAAGATATTTTACAGTAATACATAAACTTAGTAATTGTGTTATCAGAGGGAAAAGGAGTGCTTAGCAAACCGAACAGTTCCTTTAAATTTGTCTTTAATATAAAGTTAGGAAGTCCTCGTGTCTCGATCTTACATCTAGAGGTAATTAGATATCACCCAAGTCATTCGTCACATTAGTAATACCACAGCTTAAATTACCAACGCGTTAGGATTTGCAGTCACCGACTTAATACGATGGAGAGTTCAATATGGAAGTCGGAAAGATCGGCGTGTATTCACTTCCGAGATCGATTGAATGTTCGTTCGAATGAAGCGGTTTCTGACACCGTCCCGTGACAGCCATACACGTATTGATTGGACACGCCATATGCCCTTCGGCAAGTGGCGCTATCTTATGTACAACCTAACGCAATCACACCGTACCACGTGCACCTTTCTCCTTCGATCCCTTGATTTTGCTGTTGTGCTTTCTAAAACCTAAACCACCTTTTCGAGTGTGAGGCGGTAATTTGCACTCTTGCCTCAAGGGGCTATGTGACTCATGTTGTCAGGGCATTTGGCAGGCTTTCCGTTCACAAACCAATACTTTACACTGTTACGGTCAGTTCAATGCACATAATGCAGGTGCTAGTGAATTTGACGTCACAAAACATTCGCGACGAAATTCGGCGAAGTAGATGTGTTCAGCTGCAGCTTTTGCGAATTCGCAGCGCAATACTTACCGTGACGTCACAAATTAGCTCCAAATGTACACCAGCTGTTAGAATATCGAGCAGAACTATGTTTAAGGTACTATAACTAACATTGTTACATATTTGCACAAAGAAAATAATTTTAAAGCAGGAAGCTCAGAGAACAGTGTTTTATTTTGTTATTATTGGAAAGGAAAGAGCTGCAAAGAACTTTTCCACGTTCGTTGATAATGAATTAGATAATAAATATCCGTAATTATTTGGTTAATTCATTTGACCCATTTTGCGCAAATTTAGGCCTACTTGAAGTAACTTTTTGGTGAATGTTTGACGTGGTACAGTTTCCCAAACCACGAAACCGTCGGTCGTTCAACAGCAGCATTAAATGAACAACTGAATGCTGTATGCCATGGCGTTCATTCCCAAAGGCACCAGTGGCTCAGACAAAGTCGAATAAAACGTACGGAATCATGAGCCCAGTATTGCGGACTTAATGCGAGTGTAAAATATTCCCCTAATCCAATCTGCGGCTCGCCTACACGGTCGCATAATACCCGGGCCATTCGTGTAGCCGCAATAATTACACGTCATGGTGCTTGGTAAGACACGAAGACGAAAGCTGACTCGCCCTTTTCTGGACTAATTTCAGTATGACTTTCCACCCTGGAGGCTCTTGTATTGACTTGTGCATAACATCCAGGAAGGGCTGATTGTCTCTGTAGCGTAAGACCAAATGTTCAAACCACTGGCTGTGGCAAACTCGCCATCTTATAGACATTATCTACCATTTTAATGTTTTAAAATGGATGAGGATGATGTGCTCTACCAAAGACGCTTTCTGTCTGCATAAATGGTTTCAAAGCTGCAGGTACATGAATTCACAAGCTGAATAAAATCGGCTTGTTATATAGTTCTATAGGTGAATGACATATTCATTCAGATGACGTTTGTTTCATAATGTCTCGATTGGTTGCCACCGTTGGCTTGTTTATTATTTCATGATTAATTTCAAATTCCACTGGTAGATTCTGCTTTTTTTCTCAATAAATGTTTGCCTTTGGTCGTACATATCATATTTTTAATTATAATAAAGATATAAACCGGACTATTTCAGAAGGACCATTTTGGGGCAACCCTCTTTCTAAAACCTTACTGTGATCGCTGTTGAGAATTTCCCTCAATTCTAAGAAGGATGTCTTTGTGCTTGGTATTTTCCAAAATGCTTCGAATTTTTCAATAATCCTGCGCTCCGTGCAGCTTCATTTCCTCAGACACCCGATCCGCATGGGCGCAGTTGACCAAAATGGGTCGAATTTCGTTCGGATTTGCCGTGTCCCATTCTCCTCAAACAAGGGAAGTTTGGGGTTTCGCGTCTAGAACTGCTCCAGCAAACATGTCCGCAGCCACTTCTATATCAGGTCGCACTCAATATCAAACAGCTTTTCGTTCTCTTTTGGGGGCTCGCTTTCAACGTAGCAAAATGCTAAGCTAATATTAAAAAATGGAATCGATATTGGATCTGATGAGAGATAGTCTGCACAGGAAAGCTTGTATTTACTGTGGTCGCTTCTACCTGCGCGTGTGCCGGTATGAGGGTCTCAACTGTGGAGATGGAAATATGTTGACATAACTGAATGAGTCTGTTCTACTTGGAAGGAGCCTTAATTCACTCAGCGAAGATTTTGAAACTTCCGCCCGGGGCATCAGCCTGCTGTTATTTTAACACAAAAACAACTGCGTGGCATTTATAACTCTTTTTGCTATCATAAACTCGCTGGGCTGATAGTTGAATTTTGCTCCAAAATAAATACTTCCATTTCTTTTCATTTACCTTTTCCCATTTTTAACAACAAAAACAGAAACAAATGTGTCCCACATTTTTCAAATTTGACATTGATATTATGCACTCTTAGACTTAAGCTGAATTCAGTGTCTTTCCTAGATTAGTTTCTCAATATCCTATTTGGATCTAAGGTACATATTTGTTAGTCCAAGTGTTACAAACAAAACTTTCAACGACAAAAAACCGACACCTCCAAATTTCAATGTGAGATCTCCTGCCAAGTTCACCGATTTTTTAAATGTGTGCTAATAGTATAGAAGACAATAAAACTCTGTACTGAAACGTAACAAGACATACTTCTCCTAAACCAACATATACAGATATCCAACAAAACGCAAGATTTTTTTTTATATAAACAAAATATGCGAAAATTATACTAGATGAATGGCACATCCTTATTTTAATGAATTAAATTCGATCTAAGATGTTTTGATACGGCCGCCTCTGTCAAAGAAGATAATTATATGAGGATCAACTACAGATAACATATTCCGAGAGTGAATGCCCCGCTGCATCCTGTTTACATGTATATGTAAAAATCTTAATAACGATATGTTTATTTCTGATTCTGCATCTTCAAGAAGGGATATTACATTTTGAGAGAAAAATCAATTGTTAAATACCATCAACTACGTCATGGTTGTTATATATTGACGTTAAGTAAGGCCAGTTTGCGTCATGGCCGCTTTATCAATTCCAGTTAATCAAATGAAATCACATGAAATCGGTTTCGAAAAAAATCTAAGGTCAGGTTATCGAAAATGTTTTATATCCTTAGTGGTTATCACTCAACGCTAAATAATTTTATATTGGTTTTGCGAAGTTGCTGTGGTTTTTACTGTGTAGAGTTGGCTCTAACTGTAGGCTACTCATTATACTTAGTTTAAAGTATAAAAGCCTTCAAAATATTGGCGAAACAGCTTGTGCACAAGTCACCATTGCGCATTAGTATGGCTTTTTCATTAAACTACGCCGCAACCATTCACTGATGCAGTTTAACCACGCTCACGTCAGTGATTACCAGCACGTGACGTGTGCGATTTTCCCGCGCTGGGTGAAGGTAGCACGTGGGAGTGCGCACGCCGTGGTTATATAGAATACCTATACATCGATTTATAATTTACTGTTGTAAACACCTACTCTTTCTAGAGGGTAGAAACAATTACTCAGGCACAGGGTCCTATACCAAAAACCCCTACGCACGCATTGGATTGTCCCGGATTCGCTGACTAATGTGCCAATAGGTGTAGTGTGGTGGCGTGCTTTCTAAAACAGGTATAGTTACATGACTAGTCGGCTAGACGGCCGCGACTATTAGCAGAGTTCTGTAAAAAGTGGTATGAATAACCGGCACTGTGGGGAACTTTCTTTTTACACAGGGGCTGCAGGATGCGGACGGCCACACTTTTCGTCTTACAGACAGTAGTTGTCATCGGGTACCTGGCCTGCACATCGACGGCAGGGAACGCCTGCTGCAAAGGCACATGTCATGAGATCCCCAAAGGCTGCAATTGCCCCTACAAGGCAGTGTTGTGCGGGGAGTTAAACACACTTACCATGGGAAAACGGAAATCGGGAGACCCTTACCAGACAGTAATGTCGCCACAGCAGCAGCAGTACCAACAACGAAGACCGCAACTGCCTCATTCCCGAGCGGACAGGCGGCTAGATGATGGCAGGTATGTTCTGTAAATCTCATTCCTATAATTGTCTAAAGTTTAGTGAAAACTAAAAATTTGTTGTTTAATTGTGGTTTGGTATGATGGATAGTGAAATTATTTTGTACTTGTCTTTCACGCAATCTCTGAAAAATCTTCGAGAGTAATTTGTATTGCCAATCAAATCGATAAATATATCATCTCAAAAGTTTTTAAGTTCTAAATTGTGTGACGACTTAGACATTTGAAAGAACAAAGCGTTCAAAGGGTTACTACCACATTTTTACGAGTATGTTGAATTATAATAACGTTTAATGAGAAAACATGGATTTGAGCCAGGAGAGATGCCTTCGATCATGGTCCGACGAAAATCTATTTCACAAATTAACCCAATCTGTCTGACTTCCTAAGCTCCGTAAGAATTTAGTACTACGGTATATGAAGTACTTTCCTCTCATCTGCCCATTCTGTGAGCGTGTAAGAGGTTTGTAAAAAAAGAAAAGAAAAATCTCCTACACCAGTGAAAGTATCATAGCAACCATTTGTGCCCTCTGGACAGTATGTAATTTCTGTCTCATCTTAACATAGACATCGTCGCCAATCGAATCTGGAGTCCAATTTGCTTAAATCACGCGCCTATAATTTTTTCAAAGCTGCCCCACGAATCTCGCGCGATTATTAAGTAGCTTGTTGTTGACCACACTCGGGAAAAGGTCAGAACTTGTGGCCACAGAAGGTAATTGACCATTGTGTAATTCAATTCACTCGCTCGTCGTATTTCACAGAAAAGGTTGGTTTTTTTGTCCGTGACATTGACGTAACGATTCTTTGCAACTGCGCCTTAGTGGGTAATATCGTAACGCAGTCTTCACGATTAAAAGTTCGAAGTGCCACGCAACACCCAACACTACAAAAGCAAGTCAAATACCGCAATATCCTTTCGGATACGAAGTGAGTATAGTGTATGGAGCACAAGCTTTCACAATAATGAACTTTTTTCGACAATGTCATCCCCTTTCATTGTTCGCTCTTTGACAAAAGCGTAGGCAGAGTTCCTCCAAAAAAAAAACATGTTTACTTCAAGTTTCCATATCAGTTCTACCTTAAATATAAGAAGCAAAATGTGTTTTTGTAGACGTATCTGGCGTTCCATTACAACAAACACTATTGGGCCCAACAACCTACAAAAGTAGGTACTCAAACGGTTGCAAAACAGAGGTATTTTGTAGTTTAGCTAAGTTTAGGTTTGACCACAGACCCCCCCCCCCCCAAAATAGTTTCGATCAATTGTGCCCTACATTCATCACACACGCATCCTATAACCTCAGGCAAGACACGTTTAGGTTGCCAGACTAAGCGCTGTTGAAACAGACAATGGTATCGACGTTTTGGTAACTGTTATCAGGTCCAGATCTGAAGTTCAGCTCGAAGCACGTGTCCGATCTATAAAAGTAGTTATCTCGGTGAAACTGTTCTGAGACAAAAATGATTAAAAAGCGAAGCTGCAGAATTAAAGAGAGTTTCTTGAACAGAAAGGCGTACAGCTTATTCGCAACATTCTTTGATTAATCTCATTGTAAAAGGATATGCAGATAGCATTTGACAAGTTGTTTTCGTTTTCACCTCAACTTTGATCTGCAAAAAAGAGCAATTTATCAAAATCAACAAAACTTTTTAGTTTGTCAACGTTTTATTAATAATAGGCCTTACATGAAAACGGTCCGGACAATCGATATACAGTTGGTGGTAATCAGTATCACGAAGACTTTTAATTTATAAAATGGACGCTGATGATACACCAAATGCACGTCAAAATCATACAAAAAAGTCACATGAAGAAAGCAAGCAAAGAAAAGGAAGAAAGGGATTTTTTAACTACAGATTTACTTGCACGAAAGAACATTATTACGTTGCTTTGAAACTACATCGCAGCTATACGATTCCTCCTGATCGGAGAAGCGCTGTTTTTCTTTCACATGGAGTAATTGCCCGCCTTCCAGAAGAACGCAACGCGTCCTTGGTTTCAGAATCACGGGAGCCTCGACAAATCCAAGTCAATCTTACTGCAAATCAGATTCAACCCGCCGGAAATCTGAAGTCTCCTCTCGTTTAGACAAAACAGCACTGAAGACAATTGAAATCTAAGTGCATCCGGAGAAGCTGAATTATGTGCTTCTTCGAAGAAGATAAAGATCAACCTTAATTGATAAAAGATGTGCCCTGACCTCGCATTCATAAGACAATAGACGCTGTGCGTGCACAAACAAAGCCTCCTCTGTTGCTTGAATTGCATTATTCTGGCGGGGTCTCGATAATAAAGCCACTATAGGGTTTATAATTTGATAATCGATTCATTTGAGGTTCATTGAACAGCGCTGAATAGATAATGCATTTTCGTGGTGTTAGGAAATATATACCCCAAAGCCAACACGCATTTTCAATCATCGTACTTGTATTTCAGTAGATAAGAAATCACAAATTTAAATCTTGAGACATGCTGCTTGTTTAAAATGAATTGGGTATAGTTCATTTATATTCATCTAGTCGAGCGCATCTGATTCTGTTGTCAAAGATGATATTCCAAATTTGCATCTCTCCTTGGGGCAGGAAATCGTGTGAGCCGGCACCCGAATTTGAGCCGGCAACCCGAGTTGTGCATATAAATCACAAAACCAACCAACTCAAATATACCAATATTTATCGACAGAGCTGCCGTGGTTTCACGCACGATGAAAAATAATTGTCTACAAACAGGAGCATTCGCAAAATAGGCTTTGTTAAAAAAAAAAAACCTTCTTTAAAGATAAGGATCGTCTTTACTGTTAATAATTGCCTAAATATGTATATCTGGGGCATACATTCCCCGTATTTTTCCACATTTGAGAAACATTAAAAGAATTTGATCCGAATTGTGGGCTTAATGTTCTCAGTTTTTACATTATGTCGTTCTTTGCGAATAAAATGTCAGTGTGAATAATAAGAAAAAAACTTTTCAAATACTGTCCATTTTATCCTGATACTGAATAAAGGAAACTTACCATTTCGAACACTTTGATACCTTTTAAACTGACAAGCACTTACTCATAAACTTGTACAAATCGATGTACATTTGAGGGGGAAAAGACATAAGTGTTTTCAGCCTTTCGTCTTCACACGTTTGGCGCGTTTCACACGATCCTGCTATTTCTTCCCATCGTGCATTAACCACGGGGAGATAAGAGGAGTCCAATATATGATGCAGATGATGAAACAGTTCTGAAAAGCCCGAGTATAATTTGATCACACAACGTCAACTTGAGTCTGTCTCTAATGCACCTCCGATCAATACTAAACGACATTCTCGCTCGAGATCATTCCACTTGCGAGGCGGATAACTCGGTCAAGGTATACGGTTTAGAGTGAGCGGGAATGATGCTAGGCTTTCTCGGAAAATGTAACATAAAAGGAGTTTAAACACTGAATGGAGAGCTAATGTTTATAAGACGTTAAATGCATTTGTGCGGAATCGTGCCTCTTTTAGGGCCATTTTCATTGTTTTTGTTGGGAGATTGACTGCACTAGCAAGCCTCGGTCCATTGAAAGAGCTACACTCTAAAAAAGAAATAATAAAAAAAAAAAAAAGTCCGTGTCAGATTTGACCCGGAATCCGGGTCCTGTTGGGCCTACACTTTTCCTGGTCAAAAACGACACTTTTCCGGGTCAACATGACACTTCTCTTACGCTTTTTTTCTGGGTAATTTTTATCAGAAAAAGTGTCATCTTGACCCACAAAAGTGTCATCTTGACATGCGAAAGTGTCAGGCCCCATAGAACCCGGTTGAACGTTCAAATGGCCTGGGACTTTATAGAGTGTGTGTTACGAAATGGGTTAGTAACATATTCACAGTACCAACGTGGAAGAGTCACGTGCCCGTGCCAGTGACTCTTTCATGTGACGATAACGTTCAGAAGACGAATAATCTGGTGTACCACGGTGGCAGTACTTGGTACCACCTTCCAACTTGACCCCAGTTCGAATCTAACGTAATATATACAGTGTCAATTTGATTGTTAACTCGAGTCCCTACTTTGCCGTGTGTATTTTTTTTCAGAAAAATCTTCTCTCGGGTTTTCCACCCACACGTGCATTTGACCTTTACCCATGGTCGTCCGTGTAAGGGATTGTGGGTTACATTGCATTAGACAGTCTTAACGCTGGTTGTCAAGGATTATTGGTTCAACGCCTTAAAGAAGGAACAAAATACTCGAGTTCAGTTTTAAGACAGTGGCTAAGAAATGGAACATTTTTGTTTATTTCGGCTAAAGCATGTTACTGTTTTCGCTACATGTCCGATCTCGTTGTGCGTTAAACTCAACGGTAAGGAATACTCTGTCACACTGAGCGATAAATGTGACAGGGCAGGTGTATTGTCATCGCTGTGAAGCCCCTTGTCATGAATTTCTACCCAATGTGGGATTTAAATTCAAGGAAAATATGACTTCAAAATGAGACTTATCATTCTTCTGAGAAGCTTCCGAAAACAGGTAATCATTACTGAGAGAAAAGAGTTACTAGCCGAAATGTCATGCAATGTAACTTGCTTGCTCCTGGTTCTCAGATGATTTTTTTCGCTTACCACATCAATGTTCCTAGCAGTATTATTTCAATATTAAACCGGCGCCGTGAAATTGACCCGTGGCCCGTACGAATTCACAGCTCCCTCCCACATAGTCACATCAGTAGCGCGCATGGACATGAGATGCCTATCTTGGTGAGACTCTGACTCTTGATGGTATCTGTGGCTTCGTGATGTAACAAATCTCATTCTCTCAAATACCTCACCCTTTCGAATAGAAATATCAGATTGTGTCGCCATAATTACGCATTTGAATGTTGTGTATCTGATGACAATCGGTGGCAAACCTCTAACCACTTGAATTTTTTTTCTGAGGACTCAGGCTCCAGATTATTCACAGATTCCTTCACCGAACAAACAAAAATGCACCAGCTTGTCCAAGCCATATCTCACAACCGTCCACAA